GACCAGGATGGTCTCGATCTCTTGACCTCGTGATCCACCCGCCTCGGCCTCCCAAAGTGCTGGGATTACAGGCTTGAGCCACCGCGACCGGCCTATGTTTATTTTTTTGAGATGCTCTTGTCACCCAGGCTGGAGTACAATGGTGTGATCTCAGATCACTGCAACCTCCGCCTCCCAGGTTCAAGTGATTCTCTTGCCTCAGCCTCCTGAGTAGCTGGGATTACAGATGCCTGCCACCATGCCCAACTAATTTTTGTATTTTTAGTAGAAACGGGGTTTTACCATGTTGGCCAGGCTGGTCTCAAACTCCCATCCTCAGGTGATCCATCTGCCTTGGCCTCCCAAAGTGTTGGGATTACAGGTGTGAGCCACTGCCCCTGGCCTGCTACACATAAAATTTTATCAGCTGCTGCCTAATTCTTCACAGGAGCTGTCCCATTTTATACTCCCATGAACAATGTATGAATGTCTGTTTCCCTACAGCCTTACTAATAGAAATAGAGTGTTGTCAAGCTTTTGAATTTTCGCCACTCCGATTTGTGAGAAGTAGCGTGTCAGTCTGGTTTTCATTTGCATTTCTTTTCTTTTTTTTTTTTTTTTTGAGAAACACCTATTCAGATCTTTTATTTCTCCACCCCATTTTTTTTTTTGAGACTGAGTCTCGCTTTGTCACCCAGGCAGGAGCGCTGTTTAGGGCTGATAGGATATACTATGTGTCTGGTTGCTATTCCTCATAAAATGGAAATTAGGATGCCACCGTATCATAACTGGTAATCCCATTTCTTCATAGTTAAATTTTCCTATCAGATTCCGTGTAGATCTAAAGAGATGATATCATGAAGACTTTTAGGCTAATTCCTTGGTTCAAGATTAGCTTTATCTTTTTATTTCTGTGGGGAAAACAAAAAAACCCAAAATTTTCATTTTTGAAAAGCTTTTTATTCACATTAACAATAGCAATTAAGCAGTCACACTTAACTCATCCTGATATTTAACTGGTATCTTATTAGTTTCAGTAATAACATTTAGCCCAGGTTTTCTTGAATTAAGCTCATTTAAAATATTTTTTCCTACATACCTTGTATAAAATCTCATAGTTTTGTATTTTTAATTCTTAACACTTTTCTTCCCAGTTCACATATACAGAGATTAAGTGACTAGGCTTTTAAATTTCCATTTTGATTTTTGCTGATGCATGTTTCTAAATAATTTATATTCCAACAGGAAAAGATGGTAAAGCACGCAACAAAGACAAGAGGAATTTAAAGAAGCCTGCAGTGACAAAACCGAACAATATTAAGTCAATGTTCATTGCTTGTGCTGGAAAAAAAACTGCAGATGTGAGTTTCATGGTTTCCTTATATTTTGTATTTTCCTTTGTGAGGTGAATTTAATATTTGATCATACAGATGATAGGTGCTCAGTATATATTTGAGTAACATTTTTCCAGTTTCACTCACTAAGTTGGATGTAGATTTCTAAGTGAATTAAGGTACTTCATTGGAACTTGGGAAATCGAAAAGAAAATTGAACAGAAAAGCTGAATTGAGAGTGTGTTTAATTTTAGTGAGTAGCAAGAAGATCCTGGAGTAAGGATGAATGCAGAGGACGGGAGCTATAGATATAGAAATTATATATCCACAGGTGATTGTTAAAATCTGTGAATGTAGATGAGCCCTCAGAGTGAGGAATGAAGAGGCAAGGACACTTCCTTTTATACACATGTTTGTAGTTTTGGTGAAAAATTTAAGTGCAAGGCTTTCTCATGCTACCTTTCTTTATCATTTCCAGAAAGCTGTAGACTTGTCCAAGGATGATCTGCTAGGTGACATTCTACAGGATCTTAACCCTAAGGTAAATGAATCTCCAGGAGTTGTAAAATATGCAAGAACATAGACTGAAGAAACACTCTAGTAATTATACAAAACAGACTATTGCCAGAATTCAAAAATTTTTTTTTTGTATGGTCGCCTGGGCTGGTGTGCAGTGACGCGATCTCGGCTTGCTGCAACCTCTGCCTCCCAGGTTCAAGCGATTCTCCTGCCTCAGCCTCCTGAGTAGCTAGGATTATGGGCACCTACCACCACGCCCGGTTAATTTTTTTTGTAGTTTTAGTAGAGATGGGGTTTTACTATGTAGGCCAGGCTGGTCTCGATCTTCTGACCTCATGATCTGCCCACCTAGGCCTCCCAAAGTGCTGGGATTACAGGTGTGGGCCACTGTGCCTGGCCTATTGCCAGAATTTTTTAAAATGTGAGGACAACACCAACAAAAACACCCCATAAAAAAAAACCCCTTCAGGTTGGTTTCTTTTCCCCACCATTTTAGGTGAGTATTTCCAGCTGTTAGAGCTGTGTGATTATGTAGATAGGGCTGTGTGGGTGTGTGTTTGAAGTAGTAAGAGTATACCCAGGAGTCAGTTCTGTTAGTGCTCACTGCTTGTGTTCAGTTGCTGTGGTGTAGGTTCCCTAAATAGATTGAAGCCTGTCAATCTGCACAATCAGGTATAAGAGCCTCGTCTTGAATTCTGAGTGGGAATGAAGGATGAGTGAGTGAACTATCTCCGATAGAACTTGAACAGGATTAGCTGCACTGCAAATTTGAAATTTGGCCATTTCCCATAAAGACTAAGCTGTCATTTAGAAGTGTACTTCTTTTGAAGTGACCATTGATTAAAATAACTTAACATCAACACCATGTAGTTCTATCTTGACAATTTTTAAATGTAATATTCTCAAAGGTTAAGTGAAAGTGTGCTAAATTTTAAAAAGAAAAAATTGGTGAGGGGGTAGATTTAATATCTATTTTAGTTTTCTTGTGATTTCTATAGTATTGTTGCTATAGTAACCACAGTGCATGAACATAGATGGGAGAGGGTGGGGGGAGGGGGAAGGGAAAGAAAAGAAAGCTTTGCTTATTGGGCTTCAATGAGTGAAGAAGTATACTTTTTCTGTCTGTGGTAAGCCAAGCATGGCAGTGAATATGTCTTACCTTTCCTTTTAGACACCTCAAATAACTCCACCACCTGTAATGATACTGAAGAAGAGAACATCCATTGGAGCTTCACCGAACCCTTTCTCTGTGCACACCCCCACGGTAAAGTGTGTAGAGATACCTTCAATCTTGATTTATAGTATTGCTTTAAACTTATTTTATTGCTTTTCTATGTGAGGGAAATACCTTTAAATTTGTTTTTCATTTTTGTTTTAAATTAGGACTCTCATTCAATATATAGTTTCATGTATTTCAAAAATAGCATGTGCCTGCTTTTTTCATAGTAAATTTGCAGTAACTAGTATGTGTTTATTATAGGTATTACAACTGTGGTAAATGCAATAATTTTCCTTCCAGAAGCAAGTATCTTTTTGTAAACCTAGGTAACAGTAAAATAATTGAAGCTGTTACATTAATAATACATAAAATCTTTTTATAAAAGGGAACTGTCATTATCTTTGGTCAGGGTAGGACAGTTGCGTATTTTTACTATGTAGGTCTAACTGACTAAATATTTAAAAACGTTTACAGGCAGTTCCTTCAGGAAAAATTGCTTTCCATGTCTCCAGAAAGGAGCCTCCATTAACTCCCGTTCCTCTTAAACGTGCTGAATTTGCTGGTAAGTTTGATGTCAGGCAGAATTGCAAGAGTGTTGAGTGCTTTCTGTCAAAAATGGAGGCCCCATGATGGAGGAGGTATAGGTGATTTTGAAGGTGTTGTGATGGTAAGTTTAAATGTGAAGATTTAAATTCATAGCAGTAGAAGTTAAAAACACCCAATTTGGAGATTAAGGAGAAATGCACACATAGTATAGAAAAGGAAAAGGGACAGGCTGCTATTTTAGTGTTGGATGAGCCTTTGGCCCAGTGGCACTGGCACATGACAAGAATGGGTGATGATGTCTACAGGCGAGCCGGTACAGGCGGAGAATACAGAAGAAGAGCAGGAATCAGGGCCAATGGAGTTTGAAGATGGTGACTTTGATGAACCCATGGAAGCTGAAGAGGTGGACCTGGAGCCTGTGGCTGCCAAGACTTGGGACCAAGAGAGTGAGCCAGCAGAGGAAGTGAAACAAGAGGTGGATCCTGGGAAAGGGACCATGTCCTACTTGTAAGAGCATTTTATGACTTTTCTGGCAAATAGGACTACAATTTGCTGTTGAATTTTGAAAGGTTTTTGAAAATGTGATTTCTGCAGAGGAAGTGTTTTCCCGGATGTCTCTTGTTGGGATGTTGATCAAGAAGGTGATAGCACTTTCTTAGTGCAGGAAGTTCAAGTGGATTCCAGTCACCTCCCGTTGGTAAAAGGGGCAGATGAGGAGCAAGTATTCCACTTTTATTGGTTGGATGCTTATGAAGATCAGTACAACCAACCAGGTAATCATATATAAGGTAACTATATGCCTTTAACTCAGAGTAGGACCTTTCCCTTAAGTATTTTTGTGTGTGTGTATGTGTTTTGTCTTTTTATTTTCTTTAATCAATTTATTTATTTTTGTTTTTTGTTTTTTTTTTTTCCTTTGTCTTTTAAATACTTGAGTGATTGTAATTGGCTCAGGTCAGGCCCTGCCCTCACTTAACATGTATTGTAAGAGAGTGGCACTCATTCATTGTAAAGTGAATGCGCCACCCTGATGGAGAGGAGGTATGGTGTGAATATTCCTTAAAGATGCTTATTCCAAAAATCAGTTACATATGGTTTTGGAATGTGTGTTTATAGTTCACTATTGGTGTATCTGAAGTTACAGGAATGTACTTCAATTTAAATGAAATTAGTCATTAATTTGTCTGTTTCTTCAGTAATTCTGAATGCCTGTTGTGTGCTAGGCACTGAGATGGGATGAATAAGCTGGAAAAATTCCCTACACTATAATGGAGCTTACATTCTAGGGGGGTGGGAGGGTGGGGGCACATTAGCAGTAATGAGATAAATTGATAAATGATGTAAAGAAAATTAGCTGGGCAATGGCCAGGGGAGGCCTGTCTGAGGAAATGACCACTGGGCTGAGATTTGAGGTGTTTGCAGAGCTGACCAAAGGGCATTTCAGCTTAATAAGCCAGTACTAGCAAAGGCCTAGAGAGAGGAAGGAGGAGGCCTGTGTGGTTGTAGCATAGTAGTCAAGTGACAAGATTGGTATAAAATGAAGCTGGAGATAAAGACAAAGGCCAGATAATGTAGGACTTTGAAAGCCACCTTAAGAAGTTTGAATCTTCTAAGAGCAATGGGGAGGCATTGGAGAGTTTTAAATACAGGAGGTGGTGGTAACATAATTGGGTTTACATTTTAACAGCAACAGTGATTTGTGTAGAGAGTAAGCACTGTGGTGCGTGTGTGCGTGTGCACACACAAATGTGGAGGGATGGGCTGGTGTGGGGTAATGGGGAAGTGTGGAAGCCTTGGAGATCAGTCAGTCCAGGGCAGGGCTGCTAGTTACTTGGACCCTGGTGGCTGGAGAGGAGAGAAGTAAAGGCATTTGACACGTCTTTTGACACAAACTTGTTAATGGATTGGATAGGGAATGTGACAGAAAGGAGGAATCAAGGATGGTTTCCAGGTCATCCTAATGAGCTAATACTGTGAATTCTTGACTCACAAAAAGCCCAGAGACTGTTCAGTATTGTTTTGTGCCTCTTTGAGCCCTTCTTCACTGTGGGACTGTGCAATACAAGATCTGCTGGATTAATGTAAAATACAGTATGCACCCTTTAACAGAGTCGTCTTTATTTAGATCCTTTTTTGGATCTGTGGTACATGCAAATAGTGTATTTTTCAAAGCGGTTTCCTGGAGGCTGTATCTAGTAAAAAGAGATGGAGTACCTAGGTGCCAGGACAGCAAGCATATGAGTAAATTGAAGGCCATATTTACCTTAAAGATAATCAGGCATTGACTTTAACTGGAAAAATGTTAATGATCTCAGGCAGAGGTGGGGACAGTCAGAAGCATTAATATGTTTCAGCTTATCAAATATATATAAACTCTTGAGGCAATCGAGTAGCACACTGCCATGTATTAGTTTCTTGGGAAAAGATAAAATCAATTTTAGAAATGATATCTTAATCTACTTTAGGACAAAATGATTTGATTAGATCCCCTCACCTCTTTGACTACTTTGTTACTCTGCTGGACGGCTGGCAAGTATGATTACATGAGCCTGAGCAGTTGATTTCCCATCCATTGCCAAAACCCAGGGCTGCACAATTGTACAACCTCAGGGAATACCATTTTCACGTGACCTTCCTGGAGCATAGCAGTGTGACTGGTGCTCCCTGGAGCTCTGCAGCACAGTGGCCTGGCTATCCCGGTGTTACTCCCAGTGCTTTGCTGCACCTGCTCAGTGCTGCATTTCATTCCCTATCTTGGTTAATGGTCCCATCAAAACCAGAAACCTGGGAGTCATTCTTGATTCTGTCCTTTTCCTCACTTCCCTTTCCAAGTCTGGTTAGTTTTCTCTGCCTAAAGGGGACAACTTACCTTCTCTTTCTTCTCATACTTACCGCCCCTGGTCCCTTCTTGCCTACTGAAACAATTGCACCAGCCTCCTAATTCATCTCTTAGCTATTGTCCTCCACATCACTGCTAGAGGGATTTATCAGAACGGCAGTTCTGACCATGTCATTTCCTCATTAAAAAAATTCTCAGTGGCTACTGCCTACAACATAAAGTCCAAACTCCTTAGCAAGGCGTTTGATGCCTGCTGTCGATGAATTTTGTGCCCTAGAAATAGTTCTCTGTATGTACTTTGCTGCTCTTTATACCAGTGTTCCTTTACTGGTGTTTTGTCTGATTGGAATGCCCTCATCTGACTCATTCTTCAAATTTCAGCCCAGATGTGATCTCCTGGGAGTTTACCTAAACCTCCAGATGGGTCTAGGAGCCCTTTCTCCTTGTGACTACATCATAGCCTTTCCCATTGTAGCATTTGTCCTATTATTTTGAAGTGATCTGAGTCTGTGTTTTTCTTTCCCACAAAGCCTGTAAGCTCCTGGAGGGCTGGGATCTTTTATTTCCAACATGCAGCAACAATGCCTAGCACATAGTAGGTGTTAAATAAATAGTTGTTGAAATAAACTGCACAGTGACTGACAGTCCTGTAGATGCAGATGAAACATTTCAGAGACCAGTGTTGCATTTGCTACTATTACTGAGTTTGCATCTTAAAGCCTTGTAGCTTTGTGGGGTATGAGAATGCATAACACAAAAACAAATGGTTCCCCACTCCCCCACAATCCCACAAATTAAATATACCCATAAAGCACCATATTGCCAGGTTGCCAAGGATTAGAACCTTAAGAAGCAACAACCTTTTTTCTTTCCTTTGTGAAAATGAGTTGATTATTTCTACATTTTGTTTACTGGCTGACACTCTTAGTAAACAGCATTGTTTTGCAGGGTAAGGATCTAGAGCTGCGTTGTCTACTGTGGCAGCCACCGGCCACCTGTAGCTCTTTAAATTAATTAAATACAAATTAAAATTTAGTTTCTCAGTCACTAGCCACATTTCGGGTGCTCAATAGCAACTGTGGCCAGTAGCTACCATATGGGATGGTTCAGAAACAACAATTTCATCATCACAGAAATTTATTTCAACTAGTGCTGGTCTGTAGTGACAGGTGTTGGAAGATTAAAGCATTGAAGCACAGCTATATTTGCAAAGCAACCAATTTATGGTATGTGGTGGTGTTGAATTCCTGGTACTGATCATAGTCATGGATAGGCTTTTTCAACCAATATTGAAAAATATTTTGCCATTGAAAGAGATACTTCGCTATTGGTCTGTCATCCAAATGCTAAGGCAGAATGAAATCTCTGGTGCTGGAGAAGGCCTCAGAGATTATCCAGTCTAGTTATGCACTTAGGAAACTGAGGTTCCAAAAGATACAATAGCTCTTTAGTGGTAGAAGCTTGGACTTCTCACCCTCAGTCCACTCTCCTGTTCTGGTTCTGTGGTACTTCTCAAGTTGTGTTCTCTTCTATGGCACATCTTTCTCTGTTATTGATGCCAATGGGTTAAATAAGATAGCTTAAAAAAAAAACTCCTTTAATCTCAGAGGGTTGAACAGTTTCATCATGATAGCAGGTAATGATCACTGAGCTTTGGTGAAATCAATGCTGCTAATAAAAATGAAGTACTGCGAAAGACCCTGTTATTGTTTGTCACTTTCTTACGGATTCTAAGTAAGTCAGTTGTTGCTGAATGCTCCATAATTATGAAAAGAATCTTACTCTTTGCATATGGGAAGATATCCTGTCTTCATTATGACTTTTTCAAGGTTGAATAATCCTGACTGCACCTGGTTTCAGTTAGTAACTTTGAGGGGAATGTAATCTTTGTTTACCATGATCTTTTTTGTGGCAAATGAGGCATAAACAGTGTCAAATGTGTTGCATGAAGTGTGATATTAGTTTGACTGTAAAATGAGCTATTTGAATCTTTGAATCCAATATTAGGGTCTTTATTTTTCTTTGCATAGCATTTTGTTTTTCCATCTTTAACTGTTGTGAGGATGACTTTTAATTTTCTGAGCTACTGTGATTTTTTTTCTTTTTTAATCATCCCATAGTCCTTCCTTCTCTTTCTCTCCCCTGTCTACCCTCCCTGTTACCCCCCTAAGCTGAAAAAAGTCTCATAACTCTTGGAAGAATTTTAATCATCTGCAGAAGTGAAAATTCTTAGATCGTCTTATTTCTACCAGGATGTGTGACAAAAGGAGTCACTGATGAGCAGTCTTGTGAAACTGGGGGAATTGACCTTGTAAACAGTAGCCTTTGCATGTGCCAGAATTTATTTCATTTATTTATTTATTTTCTTTCTTTCTTTTTCCCTCCCCTCCCTTCCCCTCCACTCTCCTCATTTTCTTTCTTTTCTTTCTTTCTCCCTCCCTCCCTCTATTCCCTCCCTTCCCTTCCTTCCTTTCCTTCCTCCCTTTCCTTTCTTCCCTTTCTTCCTTCCCTTTCTTTCTTTCTTTTCTTTCTTGATGGAGTTTCACTCTTGTTACCCAGGCGGGAGTGCAATGGCGCAATCTCTGCTTACTGTAACCTCTGCCTCCCGGGTTCAAGCAATTCTCCTGCCTCAGCCTCCTGAGTAGCTGGGATTATGGGCATGCACCACCATGGCTGGCTAATTTTTAATTTTTTTTTTTTTTTGTATTTTCCGTAGAGACGGTGTTTCTCCATGTTGGTCAGGCTGGTCTCGAACTCCTGATCTCAGGTGATCCACTTCCCTCGGGCTCCCAAAGTGCTGAAATTACAGGTGTGAGCCACTGCGCCTGGCCCAGAATTTTCTTAGTGTCTCAGATTAAGTGTCTGTGTTGAGTGGCTTTGTTGATGGATTACTGCTGTCTGATTATTCATGGAGCCCAAGATTTTGCACAGTGACCATCTCTTGGGTTGACTAACAAATGTTTGCAGTCTGTCCTTCATGGCCAATTTTCATAAACAATGATTTTATGTCTAAAAAGGTGTGATTTTACTTTATAGTATTCATTAATTAGGGATCTCAACAGGAGAGCTTCTACTGATTTGGTTACTAAACCATTTGTTAAACTGAAATAGAAGAGAAAGGAACATTATAAACCCTACGTAGTTAGACATCCTAAGTAGCTGTGAGGCAGAAAGGGTGAAATTGAAGATAATAGTAGTCCCTACTATGATATATTTATTATTATATGGCATAAGAAATATGAGGTAAGTTATGTTTTTCCTAAGCACAGTTTTACATATAGAAAAATACTGATATGCTAGTTATCCTGATACATGAATATTGTTTTTTGTTGGTAAATACAAGTGCTAAAAAATTAGAATTATATTCTCAGATCTGTTAAGTTCTCACAAGAGGCTTAATTATGAGATTTGTTGGAAAATACTTTGCTTGTTTCTGTTTCTTTTTATTTTGAGACAGGGTTTTGCTGTGTTGACCAGGCTGGTCTCAAACTCCTGAGCTCAAGCAATCTGCCCACCTTGGCCTTCTGAAGTGCTGGGATTACAGACATGAGCCACTGTGCTTGGCCTGTTTCGTTTCGCTTAATCTGTGTAATCCTGGTTATGGGGAAAATGTTTATGCTAAGTTAGAGAATCATTCTGTCCCCTGTCCTCCCAGTGGTCATACATTGTGCCATTGTGTTAGTGTAGTATGGCATCAGTACTGAGTATAGAGCTGGTCTTGGGGAGTTGGAAATGGATATAAGTTTGCTGTCAAAATGAATTATCGTGAAGGTATAAATGTGCAGACACATTCAGCGAGCCTCTATATTGCTTCTTTAATTAGATGAAATTGTAATGTTTATTTTCTCATGATTTTCACTTATTCTTTCAGGTGTGGTATTTATGTTTGGCAAAGTTTGGATTGAATCAGCTGAAACCCATGTGAGCTGTTGTGTCATGGTGAAAAATATCGAACGAACACTCTACTTCCTTCCCCGTGAAATGGTAAACATTAGTGATTAGCTTTTACTTCTCAGTAGTTGTATCTGCCACACATTCTGTGTTCTGCTGCCAGCTCTGTCCTTCAATAGGGCTACGAATTCTCCACAACCCTGATGCTTCTTTCTTGCTGCTCGCCTAGTGACCACTGATTGTCAGCAATTCTATTAGGGGTTGGGAAAAGTAGAAAAATAAAGTAGAACTCAGTTTTTCAATTTGTTGGAGTATAAATGTTTCTGAGTTTTAGTACATAATGCTTTCTTTCCCTCACCCCTCATTTCCATAATAATCAGGGTTGGAACTATAAGGTTTTAAAATGTGACATGGTTTTTTGGCCCAGTTTTCATAGTTTTGCTGCATAGGCAGCAGTGATACTCCCTCCATTGCCGTTTATGAACAAGTTCAATTCTATTTGCTTCTCCTTTTTTATTGGGACTTAACATCCCCGTTTCCCTCTCAGCCCCTCCCCATGTCAGTTGAACTGTGGAGTCTCTTGGTCAGGATTTACAATGCTTATTCTTCCATTTTGTAGACTTGATCATCTTTATCACTGATTTGTTTTTATGATGCCATTGGGAGGAATTGGACATTTGGTTTAGTACATTTTTTGGGTCTGTTTGGATCTTTGAATTTATCTGTAAGACTGCTATTAAATATTTAAATGGGAAAGGATGAAAATTGATACAGACTTGGGTTTCTGGTAGCTGAGAAGATCTTATGTACAGATACTTTTTTTTTTCCCATCTGCCCCCCTTTCTGGGGTAACAGAAAATTGATCTAAATACGGGGAAAGAAACAGGAACTCCAGTTTCAATGAAGGATGTTTATGAGGAATTTGATGAGAAAATAGCAACAAAATATAAAATTATGAAGTTCAAGTCTAAGGTTTGTATTTGGTGATGATTTTTTTCCAGCTATGTTTGTTGTTTATTTTCTGATTTAGCAAATAGTTATTGCATATTTTCTTTGTGCAGGATGCCTTCTGTGTGACTATAATTTATTGAATGGAAATTTCATAGATATGAATGTAAAGACAATATATTAGATTTGTAAAAGTATTTTTCTTTTTAAACTGCTTACAAAATAATTGTTTATTAATTTGAATGGAAAGATAACATAGCAAATTAATTGCCTCCAGTGCTTGCAACATGTCTTGTGCCCTTATTCTCAACTGGAGAAGAAACTGCTCTGATCTCATTTGTATTAGTTATTGCCAAGATGTTTTGGTTAGAAAGTTAAGTAACGTTTTATTTTTAAAAATCAGGGACCATGACACAGTCTGATAGAATGAACATCTTTGTGCTAGTTATGATGAATTGTCTTGATTTAGTGAGATTGATGCCTTTGGCTATAATTGTGGAGACTATATAGCCTGCTGAAAATACTGGCTGTTAAGAATGGTCGTGGAGGATTGAGTTACTGAAGATAAGGCTAATAGTATTAACTGTTTGAGTTTTGAATTGTGGCTGATGGTTCAAGTCTTTAAAATTCCAAAAGCAATTGTGTTATACTGGTGAAGAGTATAGGTGCTGAGGCCAGACTGCTTGTGCTTTAAGTCCTAGCCTACTGCTTACTAGTGTGTAACCTTGGACAAGTGCTGCATAACTTCTCTGTGCCTGTTTCTTCATCTGAGAAATAGGGCCCTATTTCAAGAGTTGCCGAAAGGGTTAAATCACTTAACTCATATTAGATGGTTAGAACAGTCCTTGCTAGATAGCCAACACTCAGTAAATATAAGCTATAATTATAATGCTAATTATTTAGTATTCTAGCAAGATGTAGTTGCTTAATATCAAATAGTAGCAAGTCATTTAAT